AAGGACTGGTAAAAGAAGAATTTTCCCACAATGATATGAGTTGAGCTGACGTTTCCATTGAATTTCACATTGCCTTAAACGAAATTGGGTGAATGCATCTCATATAAGTAAAGTAGTCAAATGTAATAAAAGAATACAATTTTTCATTTATAAGAAGGCTTTCGAGATTACCAGTATATTAAATGGAAAGATTCATTAAAATAAACGCTGTACTACTCTAATTATCGTTAGAGTTGATAATAAGACCAGGCGAGGTTGAAACTGCAGTCCACCTTGGATGAAAATACCTTCTGCAAGGCAGAGAGATGAATTTATCTTGTTGCTCTGGAAAGCTGTAGCTTGGTGCCAAGAATAGCAAAGTTCATTAACAATGCTAAGAGAAACGTCTGGGAGTTTATTAATCACAGGGTCCGACGCTGGTCATACTATGGTAAAGGACTTCGGACAAGATTCTTCCACCCAGATCTCCTTGAAAATATGACTAAATTTGGACATACCAACTAATCAATTCCATAAACTAGAAGTTCTATTACAAATGAGACGGCTCACCAAGAATTTAGATCTAAAAATCTATGATAAAATACTGGCAAACTTGCAACCTAAATTAAAATCAGAGTTTCCAAGCATATGTGCCGAGCGGCACTCCCATTATAAATCAAAATCTCATTTCATACATACCTCCAGGCTGCATAGTATAGCAAATGATTATGTAAACTTCGAAGGTAAATACTTTCAATAAGTTAAAATGGCTTAATTAAAATGAGAGATAGGAGACAAACAGGTAGATGGGAGCGAATTAGCCAAGATGACAAGTGATGAACGAACTGTCTCATCAAAATACAATAAAATAGGAAGATATCAAACAGTTTAAATCAATGGAAGTGAACATAAGCGCGCAAATAGTAGCACTATAGGCAAATATAAATAAGCACTTTATAATTAAAATTTAAAGTGTTATAGATATAAACAGTTTAGAAACTCGAGTTGATAAATCGGCGAAAATGATCCTACCAAACATAAAAAATACTCCACCATGATGAAACGACATGCAGGAAAAGAAAGGCGACAAAGACTGAATGGTTGCGTTCGCCGACACAATTGGCAATCCATGGACAGTGGTGGTCGAATTTTACAACACATCTATTGCAAGTAGGACAGTGACGGCAACGAAGAGGTTGCTAAAATAAGATAGTACTATAAGTAGTAGGAAAGAATAATATAAAACAATATCGACTAAGTATTACGTTATGATTCCTGTTTACTGTCGTTGAAATTAAAACTGTTCGTGTGAAAGCTGATTTTGAATATCCTATTGAAATGAACCCGAATTAATAAATGTAAGATTTATATAATATAATTATACTGGGTTCGTTCATATAAGGAGTCATTAAAATGGAATGAAGGGCTGTCGTAAACATAGATGAATCACGCAGTAATGGAAGAATATGAGGATATATATGACCATTAATTGAAATATTCGAAACGAAAAAATCTTCCACAAATTTCACACAATTGAAAGAAACAAAAAATAATACTAATGTTGGAGTACCTTTCATTTTGTTTGAAGAGGTGAGTGGAAGGAATTCGAAAATTGGCATCACCTTAAGCTATAGGGGGATTGCACCTCTTTGAAGAAGAGTATTCATCTTCTACTTTTCCAATTCCCCCTTTTTTAAATAATGTCACAGGCAACCCCTGGGTCTAGACCTAAGGGTTTTTGAATGGTCCCTACGGATTACCTTGTACGTGGTAGTGGCATCCAAAGCCTGAACCATTTTTTCTACATAGGCCAACCTATTATAATTAGCACTGCTCTTCCTTTGTCCGCCCTTAACACTATTTGGTCCTCAGCATTAATTTTCCTTAGGATGTTTTTCATTCTTTATTCATGGATATTATTTCTACAGGAAAGACCTGGAATTCAATATCACTCCCAGTCTTTTCTAGCAGATGGTCGAAACAATTTATGAGTTCCACCAATATCTCCTCACTTTTGTCATTACTGTTTGGCAAAGCAAAGTTCAAACCTTTTAAAGGCACTTTCTCGGTGGTAACGTCAAATTCTGTCTTGGAGAGGTTTTTCTTTTTCTCACTTGCTCCCTAACGTATCCCATGGACGAATTTTGATTCTTATACCAGAATTCCTAAGTTTCTTAACGTTCATGTAACTAAGCTGCAGAAAAATCTATCATACAATCTGTCTGCCCTTCTTTATAATTTTGCGAAATCTTTCGAGTTAGAAAAATTCGCCAAAGATTGGCGTATTTCTTATTGATAAAGCTGAAAGATGGCCAATTTCCTTGAGTTGATAATAAAAGGTCAGTAAAACTCGATTACCATAGGAAAAATGTTGCGACACTTTTTGATTAGTCAAGACTATCACTTTGGTTTCATATTTCTGCTCGGAGATGCATAAGCATATATACGCACAAATGCACAGCAAAGATAGTCATCATAAGGAAAGACCCGACGTCAGCTGAGATTTCCTATGACCAAACATAACTGAGAAAGACTAGCCGATTAGTTTTTCTAACCAATTGTAAACTCAATATTATTATAAGAATGCTAAAGAAGAATTTTTAGAGAACTGCATCAACTGAACGTCCGAATAAAAACCAGATGATGATCGCCTTATGGTGAAATAGACTCATGAGTCTCTTCATCATACACTTTCAGACGAAATGAAAGCCAAGAGAATCCTTAAAAACTAGTTTATCTTCATATGTAAAGAACAAAGTTAATCTCTTTTAGTCATTATTAGTCAAGAGCGAAATTGTACTATTTTTACGTAAACTATGCCCTATTAGACACGAAACAGAGCAAGATCAATTTAAAGACAAGTCGATAAAAAAGACATGAATTAACAAAAATAGAAATAAAAGGCATATAAGAAACGATCTTGTTTGAATGCCCTCGATTTGATTATATTATTTTCATTGAGAAATAAGGCACAAGTGATGCATTCGCCTATATTATTAGGGATAAATGATATTTTTAACAAGGGAGCAATCAATTTAGACTTAGAATAAAGATTACATTATGTAATAAATATGCAGAAAGTAACATGCAAAATTTTAAAAGGATATAGATTAGAAGTGGGTTTACCTCGTTGTCGCAACTTGGTCTTGTTTTCAAGGAGACTATGTAC